CCCCTAATCTTCCAGTCTGTAAAAGTAGGACATGCACCACACTGTGCTTTCATGTCTTTCTTTTGGTTTTTAAGTTACACTTTCTCCAGTTCTTGCTTTGATGGTGTATGATCTGATCCAAGTCTATTTTTTGACTGTCAAATGGACTGATTAGATTTTGTTAAAAGGTCAGATATTATATGACAAGATCGTGACAAACTTTCTGGCACAACCTTTGTAGATAAGGCTGACAGACAGCTACCATTAAATCTCTCTATGTGCCACTATTGAGCTCCAATCTACAGGGATATATAAAGATCCAGTTTAGTCCTTTGAAAAATCTGGGTGCATTTTTCAATAATGAAAAATACTGATATACACATTGCCAGTGACAACCCCTGAACACCCGGTGGTGGACACCGGTAGTAAGGGATGCTGTTAGGCTGAAGAAGGAGCCATGACGGTTCGTGGGACTCCTGAGGCAGCTGGCAGCAGTATTGGAAGGCCAAGCGTGCCGCAGCCCGGGCTGTTGCAGAAGCAAAAACCCGGGACTGGGAGGAGTTTGGAGAGTCCATGTAGCATTACTATAGGTCGGCATCGAAGAGATTGTGGCAAACCGTCCGGCGCCTCAGGAGGGGGAAGCAGTGCTTTACTAACACCGCATACGGTGCGAGAGCTGCTGACCTTGGGGATTTTGTCAGGTGGTGGAGGGAATACTTAGAGGTTCTCCTCAATTGCCTCCCTGGTAAGGTCTACTCCAAGGTAATGGAGAGGAGACAACAACCGATGGTCAAATCTTGGATTCAGGAGGAGCAGTGTGGTTTTCGTCCTGGTCACGGAACACAAGAGGGAGTCGTTCGAGGACCAGAGGATTTCATCTCTGATGTTTTCGGATGATGTCGTCCTATTGGCCCCAACAAACCAGGACCTGCAGCATGCACTGGGACGGTTTACAGCCGAGTGTGAAGCGACTGGGATGAGAATCAGCACCTCCAAATCTGAGGCCATGGTGCGCAACTGGAAAAAGGTGCCTTGCCCTCTCCAGGTGGGTGGAGAGGCCCTTCCTCAAGTGGAGGTGTTCAAGTATCTCGGGGTCTTGTTCACGAGGAGGGAAAGTATATATATATATATATATATATATATATATATATATATATATATATATATACATATATACATACACATATTAGTGCTGTTAAACAATTAAAATAATTGTGATTAATCGCATTACTGTCATACCTAAGTCACGGCTAATCACAATTAATCTTACATTCTTCTGCCCTGATGTGCCAAGCACTGAACCAAACAGCCAGGCACTCGTCAGCCCAAAATAGGTCCCACACGTATTTTAAATGTTACTAAAAATACATACAAAAATTGTATACAAGTTAAAGAAGTTAAAAGTTAAAAAAAAGCAGTTGATGCCTTTCAAATGGACTGACAGCACAAGTGTGAATTAGCACACTTGCTTCTCAGTGAAAAAGGTGCTGGGTTTAAACCCTGGTCAGCTGTTCTGCATAGAGTTAGCATGTTTGCCAACTCTCCGGTTAGCCCTACTGGGCTCTGTACTATGACAACCTCTGCTCCTGACAGAGGCCCTAGTGACATTACAAGGTGGGTCAATGCAGATGAACAATTTTCCTTCGGTGGAAATAACTTAATGGAAGTCATCATCAGGAGACACGTGCCTTTAGAAAGTCCTTTTGCTTTAATTGGACTAATCACAGATGTTTGTTCGTAAAAAGTAGGCCATTATGAGAGACATTCTAATCTGTTGTAGTACTAATCACAGACTTAGATGGTTGTAAGACGATATCTTAGACACTAAATATAATTAATGTGTGCAAAAGTACTGTATCCATGTTCTTCTGTGTCACTGTAGAAGACTCAAATATTGATCGGCTTTGCAATCAAGCACACCGCGCATGTCCGTCAGGGTCACACAAAGCATTTTCAGATGTGGATTTATGGCTGCGCACTGTTCCATGGAGGACCTGCCCACTTCACAGCGCTTCATCGCTCACATTCTGAGGCCATTTTCTCTCCACAGTAGATCTGACCTAAATGGCTAAACTTGGTCTGGTGGTACAGTATAATAAAGCAGCTGGACAGCATTTGTCACTGAGAAAATAAACATTCCTCAAGAGTCATGCGGACACTGTGTAAATGACTCCAGACAGTATTTTGATCTTTTCCTTGTCTTGTCCATCCATCCACACTCATCTGCAGTCTACACACACGCCTCAAGCTCAGGTCTCGTCAAAGCCACAGGAATTATTTACTGCTTAATGGCCTCCAGCCGCTCCTTGCAGCTCCACTTTATGTATCGATTTCATCCCTTTTGTTTTCTGCCACGTGTAGAGTGTGTGTTTGTGAATGAAAATCCAAGGACGCACTGCCCATCTGAGAAACCCAAATGACCCCAGGATTGTAAAGATTGATTGAGCTGATGTTTCATGGCAATTGGCTGTCATGTGGTATGCTTTATATGTTGCAGGTCCATGTATACTGTTTGATGAATCCCAGCGTGTCGCAATTACTGACACTAGCACCATTAAAGGTGATCATGATAGATGTTGCAGGGGAGGGGAGAGTTAACAAATTCTCCTTGCTGCCGGGACGGTGGCCAGCACCACTCTGTTTCACAAAAGGGAGATAATCAAGGCTTAAATCATTACAGTCTTTGCATTCAGAATTGATTTTAACTTTTAATCACACACAAGGTTTACTCCAGTGTGCTTCAGCAGTGATGAGGCGCCCGTATGGCTTTGAACAGGATCAGAGATTAATACAGCCAAAGAGATTATGTCTTATAAAATGGCAAAAATCAAAGTAAAGCTGGAACCACGAGGAAAGATACAGTATGTTTCTGTGTGCGGTGTGTGAATTTGTGACTATACAGCAACAACTAAAGCAAAGTTCAACAATTTACAATACAATACAATTTATTCTTGTATAGCCCTAAGTCACAACAGAAGTCCTCTCAGAGACTTAACAAAATAAGTATTTCTCATAAAATACAGAAAACACACAAAACATTGTATTCTCCTGAATGTCAAGTGTAATGTGTTCATGCATTCAGTTCATACAATCGTGTGAGTATGAATATGTGTTATGTCATTTTCATTACAAACCAGTCACAGATTTCTGTGAAGGTATACAGCCAGTTTTCAACACTAAATACTTTTTATCAAGTTATGTACTGTTTTTAGCAATGCGTTGGGCTTCCCAACTTAAAGCAGTTTGATGATTTCAATTACAGTTTAGTACACCAGAGTATTTTAATTTTTTTCATTTTTTTCAAAAGAAAAGGGCCAATGAGGAGTGGTTGTGGCATGAGAGGTGATTGGTAATAACCTGGCAACTTACAATAATACAACAATAACTTCTGCAGGAGAATCCTTTTGGGGAAAGGAGGGATAAGCAGCAGAATACTTCAAGCTGATTGGGCGAAGTGACTCTGTGTGCCCGCCTACCAAGGTTTGACTTAAACCAATCCCGGTAACATCTTTGCCGTCCAGAAATGCACAAAGCACCTCTCGCTGTTCATCTTTCAAAAAAGAAATTGGAGATTCTGCTAAAACTGACTTGATGCCTCAGCTACGCGTCCGTCCTCCTGCGTAGCCATGTTTGTTTAGCTTCGGCCCGGCACTTCTTGCTTTCGTCAAACCCGGATATCCCGCCCTAAACCCCCAGACTGGCACGTGATTGGCTTGAACACCTAGATGTTCTACTCGAAAAGGGTTGGCGGGAGCAGTACAAGATGTATTCTCGAGTGTTTGTAAACTCACAAATACCGCGAGAATTCAGCTTGCTGGCAAGGTTAGATTGGTAAAGTATTCGGCCCCCTTGAACCTTTCAACATTTCGCCACATTTCAGTCTTCAAACATAAAGATATAAAATTTTAATTTTTTGTCATGACTCAACAACAAGTGGGACACAATCGTGAAGTGGAACAAAATTTATTGGATAATTTAAACTTTTTTAACAAATAAAAAACTGGAAAGTGGGGCGTGCAATATTATTCGGCCCCTTTACTTTCAGTGCAGCAAACTCAGTCCAGAAGTTCAGTGAGGATCTTTGAATGATCCAATGTTGTCCTAAATGACTGATGATGATAAATAGAATGCTCCTGCGTGTAATCAAGTCTCCGTATAAATGCACCTGCTCTTTGATAGTCTCAGGGTTCTGTTTAAAGCACAGAGAGAACCATGAAGACAAAGGAACACACCAGGCAGGTCCGAGATACTGTTGTGGAGAAGTTTAAAGCCGGATTTGGATACAAAAAGATTTCCCAAGCTTTAAACATATCAAGGAGCACTGTGCAAGCAGTTATATTGAAATGGAAGGAGTATGAGACCACTGCAAATCTACCAAGACCCGGCCGTCCCTCCAAACTTTCATCTCAAACAAGGAGAAGACTGATCAGAGATGCAGCCAAGAGGCCCATGATCACTCTGGATGAACTGCAGATAACTACAGCTGAGGTGGGGATGGTGTGTTCAGGGTGATGAGCTGTGTTGCTTTTACGCCAAACATATTGTTTTGCATCGTGGCCAAAAAGTTGGATTTTGGTTTCATCTGACCAGAGCACCTTCTTCCACATGTTTGGTGTGTCTCCCAGGTGGCTTGTGGCAAACTTTAAACAAGACTTTTTATGGATATCTTTGAGAAATGTCTTTCTTCTTGCCACTCTTCCATAAAGGCCAGATTTGTGCAGTGCACGACTGATTGTTGTCCTATGGACAGACTCTCCCACCTCAGCTCATGCAAACTGCATAAGGAAAATCATTCAATTCAATTTCTCACTAATACATTTACTGTGAATGAAAAGGTCCCCGAGTTCTTTAACAACAACAAAAAATAAACCCAGAAAAAAACTGTTGCATAAACCACACATGTAAATATATAAATATACTCAGGGACACAAAGGGTTCAAAAGAGATGAAAGGGAGAGACTTCTAGTAAACGGCAGGTCTCTCATTCAGCATCTCCAGCCCTACCCCGCCCTTCACTGTGCATGGTGCTGATGCTGACACCGCCTCCCTCCTCCTTCCATTGCGTTTTCGGATCAATGAGGCCAACACAACGAGAGGGGGCGGGTGTATTTGCAGCCACACGCTGCCCCGATACATGCGCACATCTCCACACACACGCCAAAGACCGACCAGAGAGCGACCAAGTGACCACAGGGCGCTCTTCACCTGCAGTCCCTCATTCCACGCTTCGCAGACGTGAGCAGAGAGAGATTTACACACCAGTCCTCCCCCCCGGATTTCCTGACAACTTTTTTTTCTCAGACCAATGTGTATTTTGAAATAGCCTCCCATCTATTTTTGCAACGTCGCATCTCTTTGCCACTTGTAATGAACTGTTTGCGTTATACCTGCGTCGGTTCCATCTCAGCATGGGAACTGCCGTGTCCAAGAGAAAGAATTTAAGAAACGATGCGATATCTTCTGCGGCGGCAAAAGTTAGGTGAGTGAAGCGTCCTTATCCCATGTGTCTTGCTTTGGATGTCGTGTGAAGTTACCGTGTGCAGGCAAATACATGTTTCTGTACTGTGTCACCTTATGCGCAAATGTGCCACACAACACCTGCCTGTCTCGCTGTCCCGTCTGCTGGGTACGGCTTGTGTTCTATGAAAAAAGCGTCTGGCTCGGCCTTATTCCACACCAAATTGGTTATTGTCTTTCATAAGCCCCGAGTCTCTCCAGAGTGTCCCAGAGAGGAGGGGTATGCAGCTTGGCATGCGTACAAATGTTGTGAATGAAGCATTGTGTAATCCAAATCAAGCAAAACCTCAGCAGCGCGAATGTTTCTTTCTTTTTTCTGTCTTTGCGCTTATTGTTTTCGTCTGTTTGCTGTTTTTTCAAACGTTTTGCTTCTGGTAGCAATCTGCTGGTGCGCGCACACACACACACACACACACACACACACACACACGCACACACTCACACACACGCACGCACACATGCATATAATCCGACCAAATGATTCACAAGTCAATGAATCAATACAGCTGGCTGCGCGGTCACCCATCACCTCATTGCCACTGACCAAGTTCACAAAAGGCTGGACGACAGTGGGGATATACTGGCAACGACATCGAATTTGGTTTAGGATTTGGCACGTGTCTAAAACCCAAATGAGTGGGAATGACAGAAGATTTTTATTCAATTCTTTCATTTCCCCCTCACTATCAACAATGGGGAAAACAATGCGTGGAAATTGCATGCCGTGTTGCGTAAATTGCAGCGGGAATGGTGCCGAGTGAGGATACGGTCACAGACACATGCGGGGATGCCTATCTCTGCACCCTGAGTGAGGATACGGTCACAGACACATGCGGTGATGCCTATCTCTGCACCCTGCGCGCTTTAAGTCGATCAGTGGATGACCTTGACTACATGCGTGGATTCCCAAGCACATGTGGGCTGATGTTCTTACGTCACCCCTCCGCTCAGTCTCCTTTTCTGGACACGGCAGCGTGAAGGCATCATGTGGTGGTGGTGGTGGTCGCAAAGCAAAAGCAAAAGCATTGGGGAGGCGAGGCACGCGCGCAGCAGTACAGGGACTATTCTACTGTAGCGATGGAGGTACCATGGGGATGCCTATAGCCATTTTTATTATTGAACTTCAGACTACGTGTTCGTTAGAAATGTCCTATAAAAGTCCTGATGGATTAAAACAGATTAGAGAATGACACTCTTATGTGCCCAGAGGGGATTTAGAACTTGATTAGCACGTGTCCTTTTTATGATTAATGTGGATTTTCTTAATGCCCAGATCCCAATCAACATATCTTCATTTGCAAAAAGAGAATAGGACGAAAAGCAATAATGTTTCTTTCTTTGAGTAGAAAATCTTATTAGATTTGTGGAATGACACACTTTCATTAACACATAGAAATTTATTCTTTAGAAGTGTTTTTTATTCTTATTTTTATTATCTCTTTTTGACTGTTGCACTGAGCCAAAGTAATTTCCTAGTCTGTGACCTCCTGTTACTTACATGGCAATAAAAATGATTCTGATTCTGATTCATTAAAAGGGATAGGTTTCTCTCAATGAAGTCGAGATTCAGTATATTTCACATAATTCTTTATCATTATTTAATCATATTGGTTCTTCTTCTTCAATAATCAGTTTTAGCAGGCCAGAATCAAATGTAAGAAAATAAGAGTATATTTTAGATTATATATAATTTGAATAGATATTGATCCCATAATATAGCCTGGACAAATTCATATCTGAACACACATCAATACATACATATGAATATATACATAGACAAATGCATGCAGTGAAAACAGACCAACCCATCCATCCAACCACCTATTGACCGCCAATAACTGTTGAGTTAAAGGGTACACCCCTATAATGGTCATTTATAGGGGTGTGCTTATCTCTATGGTGTTTTTGCAATATTCAAAATATGTTTTCTTGCTGATGAACATTTATAAGGGGGTGGTAACTTCATAGATCTGGTCTGTAACAAACAGCTAAGTGGAGATATAATGTCGTATCTTGGGAATTTAAATCAAAGGCATAGCAAAAGACAAGCAAAACTAAAAAGTTATTGGTATTTTAGTACAATAATATAGCCCGAAATTGTATGTAGTCGGGGCTAAAAGTTAGACGGAGCCAGACTAACAATAACAGTGTTTTTAAGTATCTGTGTGTTAAAGCTGCACTAACTCACTTTGTGATATTTTCGAATGTGAGCGCTGGCCTCGCTCTTCTGCTCCCCCTCCCTCCACTCACGAAGCTATCGCCCCCCACTACCCCCCTCCCACTCAGCCTGTGCTCATGTGTTTACGGAGCTAACGTCTCACAATATGGATCGCACATTTGCACGTGGATGCCGTGACCATAGAATGATATGGCGCCAGATTTACGCCAAAAGTCCACACGCGCAAATAATACATACACGCGCAGCTTTATTTAATTCACACGCGCGCAAACCAGTCTCCACGCGCATATTTCACCCTACACACGCGCAGATTCAGTACCACGAGCAACAATACGCGCGTGTGTGCGTTCGTGACATGCCTTCTCCCTGCTCGTGGTCTGTGTTCTGCGCGCGTTGAAAACTTTTGCCATCTCTTCTACGCGCGCGTGAAATATACTTTTGTCGCTCGGGGGCGGGGCCACTGCTTTCCAGGAATTCCCGCGGTTAGAAGATTTGGTTCAGAAGACGAATACTTGGTGAGCGTTTTATATTTATTTGATATATAAACATATTACAATGTAGGCTACGTCCTTTATTTCATTAGTATTCTACTAAATTTCAGTTAAAAATGAGAAGAACTTAGTTACTATCAATTAATTAATTAAAATGATGGACATTGGCAAACAAGCAACGATTGGGACACCGGCGCGATGTTAGCTATGGAAAGACAGTTAAAAAATATTTTAGGAGGGAGGTAGTTTTGTACTGTTGCTGTTTGTAGAAACTAAGGTGAGCGGCAGGTCATATTGGGGCAAAACAAATTGTGTCACTTTGGTGCTAGTTTGAAGGTTGCCTAAAAGAGTACCTCTGCTCAGTGTATACTTGCTATGATTACTTAAGTTGTCTCCTATTAACATAAGTAATAATTTAATGAACAACTTTGACTATTTGAGTAATGTTTGACCAGGACTCACTTAACTATAAGTACAGTATTTCTACTGTATCCTCCATGATGATCCATGATTACTGAACAGGCATGTTAATGTTTATAATGTCATTGTAGCCTTAGTATGTATAAACATATGATCGTTTTTAAATTTGTGTGTAGACCAACAAACCGCCACCACTTTTCCTGACTGAGATGGCTGTTGCAGGACCTCCGAATATCCATGTATGTATGTCTGAAAAAGAACAGCTAATTTACGAATGTCTAGATGAATATAAGTTACTCAAACCAAGTCTCCTTTGTTCTAGGGCTTTTTGCGACAAGAGCTCATGACCAGACTCCAGTCAAAATTGGAGTTAGCCCTGGGAAGGATGCCCATTGACCTTGACTTTTTGGAGTTTGCATGCCGTCAGGAACTGTACCTCTGGGAGGCACTGGCTAGGCATGTTGATATCCAGCCAGAACTCTTGCATGCATTAAGGGACATTCTTGCAGCTGTTATATCACACAGTGATTTTCAAAACACAGCGACAGGTACCACTGTGGAGACTATAGTTGGAGAAACGGGACGTCCAAGGTACCACATTGAGGAGGAAAGACTTCTGGAGCTTCTGGACATGAATTTACCTGTAAATAGTATTGCAAGGTTATTGGGTGTTTCACCCAGGACAATTCAAAGAAGGATGAGTGACTTCGGTTTGGCTGCCAGACAGCGATACAGTGACATTTCGGATGAAGCACTGGATGATGCAGTGAAACTTGCAAAGAGTGAAATGCCCACTGCAGGGTATCGGATGGTAAAAGGCAGACTTATGTCACAGGGCATCTGTGTGCAGTGGCGAAGAATAACTGCTTCAATGCACCGTGTTGACTCTATTGGAATTTTATCAAGATTGATGGGGATGGGCTGTATAGTTCGAAGAACATACTCTGTGAGAGGCCCACTGTCACTATGGCATGTCGACACAAACCATAAGCTAATTAGGTGACTATTCTTAATTGCTTGTTAAAAATAAGAAACTTGTGCATGTTTACTATAATTGTTTCATATGTCCAACAGATTCAACATAGTTCTTTTTGGCGCTGTGGATGGGTACTCCAGGAAAGTAAGTTTGCTGTACCTCTTGACTTTTGAAAGTAGCTAATTAAAGGCTCAATATGTGACCATTATGTTGTTAGGTAATGTGTCTACAAGCTTCAAACAACAACCGTGCTTCTACTGCGTTTTCATCCTTCAAACAGGCAACTGAGCAACATGGTGTGCCCTCTAGGTAAGTAAAAGTGAACTAATAGGGCGAGCTTGTTGTTATGTTTGAAAAAACAGAAAAGAAGGATCAATTAATGCAGTATATTGTTTTTGTAACTTGTAAGCTTTTCATTTCCGTACTTTTTGGACCCTCCTTTGTGATCTGTAATAGCAAGTAAATTTCTTCATAGTAAATTCTACTCACCTTTTATTATTTTGAATGAAAGGATTGTCACAGACAGAGTGGCAATATAACATTCAACTATGTTTCTGCTTAGGGTCAGAGGTGACCAGGGTGTGGAGAATGTGGATATAGCACGGTTTATGTTCAATGTTCGAGGGACTGATCGAGGAAGTTTTATTTCAGGAAAAAGTGTGCATAATCAAAGGTAAAATGCATCTTAATCAAGTACATACTTTGATGTAATCATACCTAACTTTAATTTTCATTTAACATTTGTTTCTAGAATTGAGCGTTTATGGCGGGATGTCAGGATAAGTGTGATCTCGTCTTATTATGATACACTTCACAGCTTGGAGAGAGAGCAGCTTCTTGATGTGTCCTCTCAAGGTTCTGAAAGACGTTATTACCAATTTTTATTTCTTGGCCAATTTCATTTATTCATGTGTTTATTTTGTCTGTCTACAGAAGACCTGTTCTCTGTTCACCAAACATTCCTTCCACAACTCAATGCAGACCTGCAGGCATTTGTGGAAGGTTGGAACAATCATCCACTTCGTACAGAAAGGAACAAAACACCAGAGCAGTTGTGGCGCTTCGAACTTATGTGTAACCCAGTAAACCAGCCAGAGAACCTCCAGGTAAATCTTTTATTATGTAATTCATTTAGATAGTTATTCCTTCCTAGCCTTTGGATTATACCCAACATTTAGTAAATGTACATTGTTTTGTCTTAATCCCAGGACATTCAAGAGCCCGATATCGACTGGGATGTTGCTGCTGACTACACACCTGATGCTGACGGTGTTGTTGTGGTCCCAGAGTTTAACTGTCCCTTGGATGACGAGGCGTACACTAGACTCAAGTTGTACTTAGATGAAAACCGCGCAAACACGCGCACTAGAGAGCTCTACCTGTTGTGCAGAGAGTGTGTACATATGGGACAGTGAATTGAAGGCTGTCCTTATGTGATGTGGAAAAAAACTTAACATTATGCAACTATACACTGGAAGGTGTTTCTAGGGTTTGCCTGTAGATAGCAGTGTCACCTTTCTCAGATCTTTCTCTGAGAAAGGAACAAATTCACAATCTGTTCAGGTCACTAAGTGTTTTTCTTTCATATTTTCTTTAATATCTGAATTGTATTAGCAGCATTCAAAACCAAAGCCGAGTAGAGCCAGTAGTAGATAGGGGTTCTTTTTTGTTTTGGGGAGAGCTTAGGCAGAAGTGAATAAACCACACTTTGATTGTATTACAGCTCTGGTTGTTTATTCTCATTTTCAAACCAAACCAAACAAACCAAAAAACAAAGATACAATTCAACATGCAGAACTAATAGGTTTTTTAGTAGGTAGCTAGAACCTACTAAAATCACCCCCTCCTAAGACTGCCTGTGTGATATTCTTCTTTAGGTCACTGTACGTCATGAGGTGCTGTACTGGTAATG